GCAACCGGCACCACAAGATATTGACAAGCTGGAATGTGTCCAGAGGAGGGCGACTAAAATGATCAAGCGTCTGGAGAACAAGCCCTATGAGGAGTGGCTTAAGGGAACTGGGCATGTTTAGCCTGAAGAAGAGAAGGCTGAGAGGAGATATGATAGCCATGTATAAATATGTGAGAGGAAGCCACAGGGAGGAGGGAGCAAGCTTGTTTTCTGCTTCCTTGGAGACTAGGACGCGGAACAATGGCTTCAAACTACAAGAGAGGAGATTCCATCTGAACATGAGGAAGAACTTCCTGACTGTGAGAGCCGTTCAGCAGTGGAACTCTCGGCCCCGGAGTGTGGTGGAGGCTCCTTCTTTGGAAGCTTTTAAGCAGAGGCTGGATGGCCATCTGTCAGGGGTGATTTGAATGCAATATTCCTGCTTCTTGGCAGAATGGGGGTGGACTGGATGGCCCATGAGGTCTCTTCCAACTCTTTGATTCTATGATTCTATGGTTCTATGACCCATGGGTTCATTTGCTTACAGCAGTAATATCGTAATGGTATTCGTGAATGAGTGATTGCTCCATAATCTTTTGTCTTTCTTACAGGGATATAGATTTTAATGGACCTACAGTGGGATTGGCCTATGTGGGAACCATGTGCAATCCTCAACATTCCTTGGGAGTTGTTCAGGTTTGTGGAACTGCGATCATTAAACAAAGGCTTATAGAATAGCATGTTTTCAATGAAAGTAGGAACGGTTGGATTCGTTAATTTTTAGTCCATGACCATTTCTTATATCTCTTTATTTTATTTTAGTATGTTTTTTACTTATTTATTTATGCAATGCTTTTGACACGAAATAGAAAAACCCACAATTTTAAGGCACACTGCATTTTTAGAGATGTTTCTATGAGGGGGAAAGTATGTCTTAGAATTGAAGAAATGTGATACATTTCAGTCTACATATTAGTGTGGGAGGTTGCAATCCTGTTGCTTAATATCCAAATACAGGGTGAATGAAATTTTTGAGAATCCCTAATTACTAGTGTGATACAAATGGTCTCCCTCTACATCTTCTATATAAATAAAAATGTAATGTTTGTTTGTGGGATTAACAGAACTCAAAAAACACTGGACAAATTGACACCAAATTTGGCCACAAGACACCTACTAACCCAAGGAGTGACCTTTACTCAAAAAAATGATTTGTCATTTGGGAGTTGTAGTTGCTGGGATTTATAGTTCACCTACAATCAAAGAGCATTCTCAACTCCACCAATGATGGAATTGAACCAAACTTGGCACACAGAACTTCCATGACCAACAGAAAACACTGGAAGGGTTTGGTGGGCATTGACATTGAGTTTTGGAGTTGTAGTTCACCTACATCCAGAGAGCACTGTGGACTCAAACAATGATGGATCTGGACCAAACTTGGCACAAATATTCCATATGCCCCAATATGAACACAGATGGAGTTTGGGGGAAATAGACCTTGACATTTGGGAGTTGTAGTTACTGGGATTTATAGTTCACCTACAATCAAAGAGCATTCTGAACCCCACCAATGACAGAATTGGGGCAAACTTCCCACACAGAACCCCCATGACCAACAGAAAATACTTAAGGCCATCCAGTCCAACTCCCTTCACCAGGGCAAGAAAATGTAATCAAAGCCCTCCTGACAAAGAGCCATCCAGCATAGATATAGATAGATATGATTCACACACACATAGTATGATAGATGTGAAAGGGATCCCTAAACAAGGACATATGTTGAAGTTCCAGAGTAAGCCAACCAGATAATTTCTACATCAGTGTTTCTCAACCTGGGGGTTGGGACCCCTGGGGGAGTCGTGAGGGTGTGTCAGAAGGGTTGCCAAAGACTATCGGAAAACACAGTATTTTCTGTTGGCCATGGGGGTCCTGTGTGGGAAGTTTGGCCCAATTCTATCATTGGCAGGGTTCAGAATGCTCTTTGATTATAGGCGAACAATAAATCCCAGCAACTACAACTCCCAAATGTCAAGGTCTATTTTCCCCAAACTCCACCAGTGTTCACATTGGGGCATATTGAGTATTCGTGCCAAGTTTGGTCCAGCTCCATCATTGTTAGAATCCACAGTGCTCTCTGGATGTAGGTGAACTACAACTCCAAAACTCAAGGTCAATGTCCAGCAAACCCTTCCAGTATTTTCTGTTGGTCATGGGAGTTCTGTGTGCCAAGTTTGGTTCAATTCCATCATTGGTGGAGTTCAAAATGCTCTTTGATTGTAGGTGAACTATAAATCCCAGCAACTACAACTCCAAATGACAAAATCAATCCCCCCAACCCCAACCTCACCAGTATTAAAATCAGGTATGCATTTTGTGCCAAATTTGGTCCAGTGAATGAAAAATCCTGCATATCAGATATTTACATTACAATTCATAACAATAGCAAAATTACAGTTATGAAGTAGCAACGTAAACAGTGTTATGATTGGGGGTCACCTCAACAGGAGGAACTGTATTAAGAGGTCGTGGCATTAGAAAGGTTGAGAACCACTGTTCTACATCAACACAAGCATAAAGAAATTACATATATTAGAAACCAACACTTTCTCGTTACTTTATTTTCCAGATCACCAGACTGGGCCACAGCAATGCCTGGCAGGGGACAGCTAGTAATTCCATAGAATCTTAAAAACTCATCTGTGTATGCAGACATATTAAACACAAATGCACAATTAGAACAACATTTGCAATCTGCTCCCAAAACTACAATACTGGAAAGGAAAATGGGTTCCCTTGGAACTAGAAAGACCCGTATCCACTAGGCTTGGGCGATCCAGTTCGTTAATTTCGTAATTCGTTATTAATTTGTATTTAAATTAGCTTACGATCCAATATCGAGCCATGCAGGAATAGTGTGAGGAGTAATTAAGAATCGAAACAATTTTTCCAATTTTCGTAATTATTTCGTAATTATTTTCGTAATATAATATAATAATATATAATATATAATACAATATATTATAATAATATTATAATAATATAATATAATAATATATAATATGATAATATTATAATAATATAATATAATATAATAATATAATAATAATATAATATAATAATATCTAATATAATATATATAATATAATATATAATAATATAATATAATATAGTTGTTGTGTGTTTTATCACACCAACAGTCAACAACAGAGGGAGAGGGAAGCTTCAGAAGTTCCCCCTGTCCCATTTGGAGATTTTTTTGTAATTTCCGAAATTTCGTAAATTTCGAACTTTTTTAAAGAAAAATTTCGGAATTCTTTAAAAAAACGAAACGCAATGGACCCCCTAAAAACGAAACGAGTTTAGAAACAAATTTTTCCATTGTTACCCAAGCCTAGTATCCACTAATTGCAATGATGCAAAAGTATTTAAAAACAATTCAATGTATACATACAAATACAAATGTCAGTAAAACATAGGATTGTTACATTCACATTAAACAGAAATAATTTGTTCTTTTCTCAAAAGATGAAAAAAAATCCTCTTCACACCTTCAGCCACTATATATGTTCCCTTAAGGATCCACTTTTCAAGAGCACTGTTAATAGACCACTTGCCTCAAATATTGAGCTTTTTTGATAAGTGAACTCAAATACCTGATATGAAGACCAGTTGAATGTTGGAGTCCACTCTTGTGTAATAAAGAAAATAGGACATTTACTGTGCAAGGATTTGGAGTCTACTCATCTGTAGTAAAGTAAACAAGAACTATTTCCACACATGGAAGACAACTTTCATTTTTGATAAATAGAAAATAGAGAGGAAAAAACCAGGCACAGATTAACACCTCCCAGCAACAGATTTTCCCAGGCTCAGGCAGGCCTTCAAATGCTAATGAAGGTGGTCAGCTAAACATTCACACCTAACTGCAGCAGGGAAGAGCTCTTTGCCCCACCCCAGCCATTCCACAGATATATAAACCCTTTTTCCTAGTTCCAACAGACCTCACTACCTCTGAGGATGCTTGCCATAGATGCAAGCGAAACGTCAGGAGAATGCCTCTAGAACATGGCCATATAGCCCGAAAAAACCCACAAGAATCTAGTGATTCCAGCCATGAAAGCCTTCGACAATACATATATTATTATTATTATTATTAAACTTTATTTGTACCCCGCTAGCATCTCCCGAAGGATTCAATGCGGCTTACACAGGCCGAGGCCTCAACACACAACACAACAATACAATCTAAGCAAATCAAACAATTAAAAACAGAATAAAGCAAAATAAACAACAGGCACAATACACTAAACACAATAAAACTGGGCCGGGCCAGAGCAATGGGTACAAGATTAAAAGTGCTGATGTGACAGGAGGTGTATATAGGGCTTCCAGGGCAAGTGCGATGTGCAATGTGCAGCAATCATTGGTTCTGGTAAAGTGCTTATGGGACTTGGTAGTGGAGATTTCCTAATCTGGGAAGGCGCATCGGAAAAGCCAGGTCTTCAAGTTCTTTCTGAAGACAGCCAATGTAGGGGCCTGTCTAAGGTCTTTGGGGAGGGTGTTCCAGAGTCGGGGGGCCACCACGGAAAAGGCCCTGTCCCGCGTCCCCACCAAGCGCGCTTGCGACGCCGGTGGGATCACGAGCAGGGCCTCTCCAGATGACCGAAGAGAACGTGTGGGTTCGTAGATGGAGATGCGGTCACGCAGGTAGGCTGGTCCCAAACCGTTCAGGGCTTTGTAGGTAAGCACCTGCACCTTGAATTGGGCTCGGAAAATAAATGGCAGCCAGTGGAGCTCCTTAAACAATACACATTTTATTTCATCTACTTATACCCCGCCCTTCTCACCCCAGGGGGGACTCAGGGCGGCTTACAAAGGAGGCACAATTAAATGCCTAAATCAATTGACAGTAATATAAAATACAAAAGCAATTCAGCAGTTAAAAATTAAACATCGGTACATAATAGAAATATTTAAACAATCTCATGCTCGGGTTCAGAGTCCATATATCCATTCCATTCCATTTGTCCTTGTCTGTCGTCAGATCCTTAATTTAGCTGCCAGTGTGTCCAAAGGCTTGGTCCCAAACCCAGGTCTTCAGTTTTTTCCTGAATGTCAGAAGGGAGGTCGCCGATCTAATCTCCCCGGGGAGTGAGTTCCACAGGTGGGGGGCCACCACTGAGAAGGCCCTGCTCCTCATCCCCGCCAGCCTCACTTGTGAGAGTGGCGGGGTCGAGAGCAGAGCCTCCCCAGAAGATCAGGAGGGTTGACCTCTCTCTGTAAGGGGCCCCAGTTAGCATCCTGGCTGCTGATCGTTGGACCAGTTGGAGCTTCCGAGCCGTCTTCAAGGGCAGCCCCACGTAGAGCGCATTGCAGTAATCCAATCTGGAGGTGACCAAGGCATGGACCACTCCGGCCAGATCCGCCTTCACGAGGTACGGTATGTAACGATTCCATAAAATAGGAAATAGTAGAAACATCACACTGGCAACAAAGATCCGCGTAGTCAAAGCAATGGCATTCCCCATAGCAACCTATGAACCACAAGAAGATCCAACCAGTCCATCCAGTCCATCGTTCAGCTCACTGAAGGGAAGGATATTAGAGGCAAAGATGAAGTATTTTGGCCACATAAAGACAAGAAAGCTTAGAGAAGACAGTTATGCTGGGGAAAATGGAAGGAAAAAGGAAGAGGGGCCAACCAAGGGCAAGGTGGATGGATGTTATCCTTGAAATGACTGGCTTGACCTTGAAGGAGCTGGGGGTGGGGACGGCTCACAGGGAGCTCTGGCGTGGGCTGGTCCATGAGGTCACGAAGAGTCAGAAGCAACTGAACGAATAAACAACAACAAACAATCCTATGTTTTACTAACATTTGTATTTGTGTGTATACATTGAACTTCTATGTGTTTAGATACTTTTGTATCACTCCAAAACTACAATATCCAGTAATATTGTAGTTTTATGAGCAGTGAAAGTATCCCAGCTGAAACGATATTGCCAAATATGTATGGTGTAGCATATTCTTATTTACTGAAGATAAAAACAACTAAATTGAATTAAACCTTTTGGCTCTGGAGTCATAATACTTCTGTTTACCTATTTTTTTTAGCATTCTTATGATGGTTTCTTTGTGTGTGTTTGTATGTATGCAGGATCACAACACCAGCCCTATTGCTATCGGTGCAACCATGGCCCATGAGATGGGCCATAACTTTGGAATGAATCATGACACAAGTTTTTGTAAGTGCAGCTCAGAGTCGTGCATCATGGCTGGTCAACTCAGGTAAAGAAACTACATAACCGACTGCATCTGATAACAACTGTTATTTTTTTTCCATATGCAGGCTTTCATGGCCGGAATCACTGAGTTGTTGTAGGTTTTTTCGGGCTATATGGCCATGTTCTAGAGGCATTCTCTCCTGACGTTTCGCCTGCATCTATGGCAAGCATCCTCAGAGGTAGTGAGTAGGCTTGGGCGATCAAGAAAAAATTGATTCTATACTCGTTTCATTTCTAGGGTGCGCTAGCGTTTCTAAATTCTGAGGACTTCCAAAATTTAAGATTTCAAAATTTCGAAATTTCCGAAATTTCGTAAATTACGAATTGATTCGTTAATGGCGGACGCGATTGCGCAATATGCTAAAAAACCTCCAAATGGGACAGGGGGAACTTCTGAAGCTTCCCTCTCCCTCTGTTGTTGACTGTTGGTGTGATAAAACAAACAACAACTATATTATTATATTATATTATTATATTATATTATATTATATTATATTATATTATTATATTATATATATTATATTATATTATTATAATATTATTATATTATATTATTGTATATTATATTATTATATTATATATTATTTATAATATTATATTATTATATATTATTATATTATATTATATATATTATATTATTATAATATTATTATATTATATTATGTTATTGTATATTATATTATATTATTATTATATTATATTACTTTATATTATAATATATTATATTATATATATAATATTATATATATTATATTATATATAATAGTATAATAATAATATAATATAATATATATTATATTATTATTATAATATTATAATATTATATATTATATTATAGTATTGTATATTAGAGTGAGGCAAGAAGAAGCATGAGGAAAGAGGAGGGAAGCAGCAGAGCAAAGGGACCGGAAGTGGGGTAAATGCGAGATTGTAAAACTTGCACCAGACATACGAAAATAATTACGAAATAATTACAAAATAATTACAAAAATTGGAAAAAATGTTTCGATTAATTACACCTCACATTATTCCTGCATGGTTTGATATTGGATCGTAAGCTAATTTAAATACGAATTAATAACGTATTTACGAAATTAACGAACTGGATCACCCAAGCCTAGTAGTGAGGTCTGTTGGAACTAGGAAAATGGGTTTATATATCTGTGGAAGACCAGGGTGGGACAAAGGACTCTTGTCTGCTGGAGCTAGGTGTGAATGTTTCAACTGACCACCTTGATTAGCATTTGATAGCCTGGCAGTGCCTGGAGCAATCTTTTGTTGAGAGGTGATTAGATGTCCCTGATTGTTTTCCCTCTGCTGTTTTGCTGTTTTAATTTTAGAGTTTTTTAATACTGGTAGCCAGATTTTGTTCATTTTCATGGTTTCCTCCTTTCTGTTGAAATTGTCCCCATGCTTGTTGATTTAAATGGTTCTAAACTCTAATATACTAGTCTTCTCACCTCCGCAGAGGGACTCAGGCCGGTTCACAACAAGGATTCATGAACAATAGTTTAAAAACATCACATCCATAATACACTAAAACATTAAAATACAATTATAAAATATAGTATTTCAAATCTGAGAACAGTTGCACTTCCAGAAAGCAAACAATCAAGTGCTAGTTAACACCTGTCAAACAGAGGATGCCTCCAGGCAACAGAGGCCAGGCTACCTCTATTCAGATACCCTCACTGATTGATTTTGCAGCTTTGGATTTCAATGGCTTCTCTGTGTAGTCTGACATGGTGGTTGTTGGAGTGGTCTAGCATTTCTGTGGTATTATTTATAGCGCCCACTTTTTGCTTGATAATCAGCAGTGCTTCTTGTAGGTCAGGACATGGTCCAGAGTGACTCCCAGGTATTTGGGTGTGCTGCAATGCTCCAGTGGGATTCCTTCCCAGGTCACCCTCAGAGCTCAAGATGCTTCTCTGTTCTTAAGATGAAAAGCACATGTCTGTGTTTTAGATGGATTAGGAATCAGCTGGCTTTCCCTGATTCACCCAGAGGAAAAGTGTTCCTGCCATACATCAAGGGAACCACTGACCGCATAGGGAAGCTGATGAGGAAACACAACATACAAACAATCTACAAACCCACCAAGAAAATCCAACAAATGCTACGTTCAGCAAAGGACAAGAGGGATCCTCTCACCTCTGCAGGAGTCTACCGTATACCATGCAGCTGTGGACAAGTCTACAGAGGGACCACCAAACGCAGCGCCCAGACACGCATCAAGGAACATGAAAGGCACTGCAGACTACTTCAACCAGAGAAGTCAGCCATAGCAGAGCACCTGATGAACCAGCCTGGACACAGCATATTATTTGAGAACACAGAAATGCTGGACCACACCAACAACCCCATGTCAGACTACACAGAGAAGCCATTGAAATCCACAAGCATGTGGACAATTTCAACAGAAAGGAAGAGACCATGAAAATGAACAAAATCTGGCTACCAGTATTAAAAAACTCTAAAATTATAACAGCTAAACAACAGAGAGGAAAAAACCAGGCACAGATTAACACCTCCCAGCAACAGATTTTCCCAGGTTCAGGCAGGCCTTCAAATGCTAATGAAGGTGATCAGCTAAACATTCACACCTAATTGCAGCAGGGAAGAGCTCCTTGCCCCACCCCAGCCATTCCACAGATATATAAACCCATTGTCCTATTTCCAACAGACCTCTACCTCTGAGGATGCTTGCCATAGATGCAGGCGAAACGTCAGGAGAAATCCCTCTAGAACATGGCTCTATAGCCCGAAAAAACCCACATGAACCTAGAAAAACAGCCTAAATAGGAACTAAAGCTTTGGAGAACTTCTGTTCAACCTTCTCAAAGCTCCCTGCTTGAGCGGTGATGGCACGATCGTCAGTATAGATGACACTCTCTGTCCATTCTGGCAGTGGCTGATCATTTGTGTAAATGTTAAACAGTGATGGAGCAAGCACGAGGATGTGAGAGAAGCCTCTCCGCAGGATCGTAACACAGCTGGGCATCCCCTGGGCAACATCTTTGTAGATGGCTGATTCTCTCACAATCAGAAGCTACTTGCAGCATGATACAGAGACAAAGACATTGGCTTTGAGAAGCAGCAGTCAGGAGGCTTGTTGTTGCACCTTTTGTGGGTAGTCAACCTCTCTCCTCCCGACAGCCCTGTTTCCTCAGCACTATAAGAAGGTTTTGCAAGACCAGTCACTCTTGTTTCATGATATTGGAAAGGAGGAGATCCACCATGGGAAATCCTGAGGGAGCAACTCCAAAGCAGGCTGAAGCAAGACACGAAAGCATATAGCAGGGATAGGCAACTATGGAAAACTAGGGGTACATTAGTCCTTCGGGCGACCTTGGGAAGTTATTATTATTATTATTATTATTATAACTTTATTTGTACCCCGCTAGCATCTCCCGAAGGACTCGATGCGGCTTACACAGGCCGAAGCCTCAAACACAATACAGTAAAACATAACACACAATAACAAAGCAAATCAACAAAAGCAAAATAACGACAATGGCAATACATCAAAACATTATTAAAACTGGTTCGGCCGGCGCACTGGGGTACTAGGGTTAAAAGTGCTGAAATGGCAGGAGGCACGTAGGTTTAAAAGTGCGGTGTGCAGCAACGGTTTGTTAAACTAAAGTGCTACTAGGACTTGGGTGGGGATTCCTAGTCTGGGAAAGCACAACGGAACAGCCAAGTTTTAAATTCTTTCTGAAAACTGCCAGAGTAGGGGCCTGTCTGAGGTCTTTTGGGAGGGGGTTCCAAAGTCGGGGGCCGCCACAGAAAAGGCCCTGTCTCGTGTCCCCACCAAGCGCGCTTGCGACGCGGGTGGGATCACGAGCAGGGCCTCTCCAGATGACCGAAGTGAGCGTGTGGGTTCGTAGATGGAGATGCGGTCACGCAGGTAGGGTGGTCCCAAACCGTTTAGGGCTTTGTAGGTGAGCACCTGCACCTTGAATTGGGCTCGGAAAATAAATGGCAGCCAGTGGAGCTCCTTAAACAGAGGGGTAGACCTCTCTTGATAATGAGCCCCAGTTAGCATCCTGGCTGCTGCCCGCTGAACCAATTGAAGTTTCCGAGCCGTCTTCAAGGGCAGCCCCACGTAGAGCGCATTGCAGTAATCCATTCTAGAGGTGACCAAGGCGTGGACCACCCCGGCCAGATCAGCCTTAATCCAGTCCCTCATGTTGTGGTGACCCCCAACCATAATATTGTTTCCATTGCTACTTCATAACAGTCATTTTACTACTGTTATAAATCATAATGTAAATATCTGATATGCAGGATGCATTTTCATTCACTGGACCAAACTGGGCACAAATACCCAATACACCCAAATGTGAATGCTAGTGGGGTTGGAGGAGGATTGATTTTGTAATTTGGGAGTTGTAGTTGCTGGGATTTATAGTTCACTTATAATCAAAGAGCATTCTGAACTCCACCAGTGATGGATTTGAACCAAACTTGGCTCCCATGACCAATGGAAAACACTGGAAGGGTTTGATGGGCATTGACCTTGAGTTTGGGAGTTGTAGTTCACCTATATCTAGAGAGCACTGTGGACTCAAACAATGATGGATCTGGACCAAACTTGGCATGAATACTCAATATGCCCAAATAGGAACACTGGTGTGGAGTATGACTAAAATGTAGGCTTGGGCGGTTTCGTTCGTTAATTTCGTAATTCGTTATTAATTCGTATTTAAATTAGCTTACGATCCAATATTGAGCCATGCAGGAATAGTGTGAGGAGTAAATTAGATTCAAAACAATTTTTTCAATTTATTTCGTATTTGTTTCGAAATTATTTCGAAATTATTTCGTAATTATTTCGTAATTATTTTCGCATGTCTGGTGCGAGTTTTATAGTTGTTGTTTGTTTTATCACACCAACAGTCAACAACAGAGGGAGAGGGAAGCTTCAGAAGTTCCCCCTGTCCCATTTGGAGGTTTTTTTAGCATATTGCGCAATCGCGTCCGCCATTAACGAATCGATTCGTAATTATACGAAATTTCGTAAATTTCGAAATTTTTAAAAGGAAAATTTCGGAATTCTTTAAAAAAACGAAACACGATGGACCCCTAAAAACGAAACGAGTTTAGAAACAAATTTTTCCGTTGTTACCCAAGCCTAGAAAATAGACCTTGACTTTTGGGAGTTGTAGTTGCTGGGATTTATAGTTCATTACAATCAAAGAGCATTCTGAACTCCACCAACGATAGAATTGGCTCAAACTTCCCACATGGAATCCCCATGACCATCAGAAAATACTGTGTTTTCTTATGGTCTTCGGCGACCCCTCTGACACCCCGTCGCGACCCCCTCAGGGGTCCCGACCCCCAGGTTGAGAAACACTGTCCTAAGCAGAGTTTAGAGCATCTCCCTGGGTCCATTTGAAAAATACTTAGCCAATAAGTAAAGACTTTTATCAAAACCTGGCATTGCTATAACATCTGTATATTGTTCTATATGTGCAGCTATAAAACCCCCCGGGATTTCAGTTCCTGTAGTCTCCAGGATTTCCAAAAATACATGATGGACCGATCCCCAGATTGCATCATTAATATGCCATCGCCCAAGGAGATCATTGCAACTCCAGTTTGTGGGAATAACTTCGTGGAGGAGGGAGAGGAATGTGACTGCGGCTCTCCAAAGGTATCTTTGTGTTATTGTTCTTGTTCCACAAACCCAGCCAAGTGGAGGAAGTTTTTGTGTTTTGCCAGGATTTTTAGTTCTGTAGAGTTCCAGTGTTAGAAATGGATGGGCAAACCAAACGAGTACAAATAAAGGACCATGAAAAGCATCTAAACAGATATCTGTGAACACACAGGTATTCAAAGGTTAATCTGTAAAATCTTAACAGCATCTGTTACATCCACATCTTTCCAGATATGCTACACTGCTTATCTCACCTAGGGTTTTAAAAATTTTAGTCTTTGTAACTGGCCCTGCCCACCTTGATCAATTAGTGTGATTTTCTATTGTATCTTGTGTCTATTTTGTATTGTTCTTTTATTATTTTGTTAGCACCAGGATTGTGGCGCAGCTGGCTGAGTGTCAGCTGCATTAAGATCACTCTGACCAAAAGGTCATGAGTTCGAAGCCAGCACAGGTTGGAGTGGGTTTCCAACCAATTGTGTAGCCTGTTGTCGACCTTTGCAACCCGAAAGACAGTTGCATCTGTCAAGTAGGAAAATTAGGTACCACCTTAAAGTGTGGGGAGGCTCAATTAACTAATTTATGAGGCCATAAAGAAGACTCCAGCAAAGCATTCCAGCGGGGAAGCATGCGGGGAATGCGGAAGTGCTTAATCAGCGTCGCAGATGGACGATGAAAGCGACAGCTCCCCTGGCGGCCAGAAAAAGTTAAATAGCCTCTGTGTCAGGCCCGTAGCCAGGATTTCGTTTCGGGGGGGCTAAAAAATTTTCAGGGGGGTTTCGGGGGGGGGGCGGAGTTTCGGGGGGGGGGCTGAGTCTGAGTGAAAGAGGGTCTAGCCTAGCAAACCTTTTGTATCATTACCCCAATACCCCCATGCATATGGGATATATTGAGTATGGTGATCAGATCATGATATGAATAAACATAACAGTTTAAATAATGCACCAGTAAGGCTTTTTCGCGAACCACCATGAGAATTTCGGGGGGGGGGGGGGCTGAAGCCCCCCGGGCCCCCCCCTGGCTACATGCCTGCTCTGTGTATGTCTGTATATGTTTGTATGTCAAAAATTGGCATTGAATTTTTGCCATATATGTGTACACTGTAATCCGTCCTGAGTCCCCTGACTGTGAGAGCCGTTCAGCAGTGGAACTCTCTGCCCCGGAGTGTGGTGGAGGCTCCTTCTTTGGAAGCTTTTAAACAGAGGCTGGATGGCCATCTGTCAGGGGTGATTTGAATGCAATATTCCTGCTTCTTGGTTGGACTGGATGGCCCATGAGGTCTCTTCCAACTCTTTGATTCTATGATTCTATGATTCTTTCACTTTTTTATTTCCTTCTCTCCTTCCTTCCTTCTCTACCTTTCTTTCTTTCCTTCTCTCCTTCTTTCTTTCTTTCTTTCTTTCTTTCTTTCTTTCTTTCTCTCCCTCCCTCCTTCTCTCCTTTCTTCCTTCCTCCCCCTTTTCTGTGTATGTGTTTTGTGTGTGCATATCATCATCATCATCATCATCATCATATTTAATTACTTATTAATCACCCTCCATCCGAGAATGCTCTAGGCGATTTACAGCTAAATTATAAAAGATAAAATACATACATACAAAAATTAAAAATTAACAGAGATCAAATGCTCTAGTAAAAAGCCAGGTCTTAAGTGCGAGAGTAAAAGGCCCTAAGTCACGCATGGCTCTCATGTAGGGCGGCAAGGAATTCCACAAGGCAGGGGCAGAAATAGAAAAAGCCCTGCGCCTGGTCCTTTCCAAGTGCACTTCTCTAGGACCTGGTATATAAAGTAAGTCACGTTGGGATGGTTGTTGCGACCTACCGATGATGGGAGAAGGAGAGGCGGTCCCTAAGGTACGATGGACCCTGGCCGTAAAGAATTTTAAAGGTCAGAACTAGCATCTTATACAGGCCACGGTACTCAGTTGGAAGCCAATGTCAATGTTGCAGCACTGGTGTTCTATGGCATTTCATGGGCGTTCTTGTGAGTAGCAGTATATGTGTATGTATATATTTGTGTATATGTGTATATATGTGGTTTTGTGCATGCATTGCAATGTATTTTTTTTGGCTATTTAAGTCTTTTCTGCTGTATTTTTCAGTGTTTTTATGAGTGATGGTCACTCGTTGGCCTGAGAGGTGTCTTGTGTCCAAATTTGGTGTCAATTCGTCCAGTGGTTTTTGAGTTTTGTTAATCCCACAAATTAACATTGCATTTTTATTTATATAATTTTTATTGAACATTTTAAACACAAACACATGGAAAGAGGGAGAACATTTAGAAGGAGATAGAAAAGTAGGAAATACAATCCAAAGAAAAGGAAAAAAGGGAAAAAAAAGAAAAAAAAACCAAAAATATAAAAATACAAAAAAAATGCAAAAAATACAAAAATACACCCCCCCCATGCAAAAAATACAAAAAACAAAACCTAAAACTAAAATGACTTCCACTCAAATCCCAGGATCTTTTTCAGTTATGTCTTCATCTTATTTATATCTTCTTAGTCTATACTATTTTAACATTACATTTTTATTTATATAGATTCTATGTTGTATATTTGCTTTGTTGTAACTGTTGGGCCAACCCAAAGTATTATTATTATTATTATTATTATTATTATTATTATTATTATTATTATTTTCGTGTCAGGAGCGACTTTAGAAACTGCAAGTCGCTTCTGGTGTGAGAGAATTGGCTGTCTGCAATGACGTTTTTGATGTTTTATCCTTGTGGGAGGCTTCTGTCATGTCCCGCATGGGGAGCTGGAGCTGACAGAGGGAGCTCATCTGCGCTCTCCCTGGATTCGAACCTGCGACCTGTCAGTCTTCAGTCCTGCTGGCACAAGGGTTTAACACACTGCTCCACCAGGGGTTCCATTATTATTATTATTATTATTATTACTATTATTGATATTGATATTGATATTTATTTATTGATATCATTCATATCCTACTCTTCAGCGAAGAAGGTTCCCAAGGCACTTTGCAAATCTTAATGCAACTGAAAAACCTTGTTTTTGTAAACTGTTCTCTGAAAAACTTGGTTGGACTAGACAGAGCAGCAGGAATGGAAAAACTAATGAATGCTATTCTTGGCTTTAAGGAATGCAATAACGAATGCTGTGATGCCGCAACTTGTAAACTGAAGCCAGGTGCAAAATGTGGATATGGGGAATGTTGTGAAAAGTGCCAGGTAAGGCTTGTGTTCTTTGCTAGAAGGTGCAATGTACAAATGCTCAAATATATTGGGTTGATGTGAGTTGTCTGGGTTGTGTAGCCATGTTCCAGAAGCATTCTCTCCTGACATTTCACCCACATCTATGGCAGGCGTCCTCAAAGGTTTTGAGATATATTGGAAACTAGTCAAGGGATGTTTATGTATCTGTGGAAGGTCTAGGGTGGGAGAAAGAACTCTTCTCTGCTGGAGGCAAGTGTGAATGTTGCAATTAATCACCTTGGTTAGCATTGCAAAGCCTTGCAGCTTCAAGGCCTGGCTGATTCAACAGTGACAAATGCAAGATACTCCACTTTGGCAGGAAAAACAAAATGCAAAGATACAGAATGGGGGACAATGCCTGGCGCGAGAGCAGTACGTGTGAAAAAGATCTTGGAGTCCTCGTGGACAACAAGTCAAACATGAGCCAACAATGTGAGGTGGCGGCAAAAAAAGCCAATGGGATTTTGGCCTGCATCAATAGGAGCATAGTGTCTAGATCTAGGGAAGTAATGCTACGCCTCTATTCTGCCTTGGTTAGACCACACCTGGAATATTGTGTCCAATTCTGGTCACCAGAATTGAAGAGAGATATTGACAAACTGGAATGTGTCCAGAGGAGGGTGACTAAAATGATCAAGGGTCTGGAGAACAAGCCCTATGAGGAGCGGCTTAAGGAGCTGGGCATGTTTAGCCTGAAGAAGAGAAGGCTGAGAGGAGATATGATAGCCATGTATAAATATGTGAGAGGAAGCCACAGCGAGGAGGGAGCAAGCTTGTTTTCTGCTTCCTTGGAGACTAGGATGCAATGGAACAATGGCTTCAAACTACAAGAAAGGAGATTCCATCTGAACATGAGGAAGAACTCCCTGGCTGTGAGAGCCGTTCAGCAGTGGAACTCTCTGCCCCGGAGTGTGGTGGAGGCTCCTTCTTTGGGGGCTTTTAAACAGAGGCTGGATGGCCATCTGTCAGGGGTGATTTGAATGCAATATTCCTGCTTCTTGGCAATGGGGTTGGACTGGATGGCCCATGAGGTCTCTTCCAACTCTTTGATTCTAGGATTCTATGATTCCTGCCTGGGGAAATCCTTTGTTGTGAGGTGATTGTTTCATGTCTGGAACAACACAGAGAAGCCATTGAAATCCACAAGCTTGTGGACAATTTCAACAGAAAGGATGAATTATTTATAATAATAATAATAATAATTATTATTATTATTATTTACTTATTATTATAATTTTAATAATACTATGATACTATTATTTGAAACAAAATTTGGCTATCAGTATTTAAAAAACCCTAAAATCAGGACAGTAAATAAAGGACAACACTCTGAAAACAGGGGACCGTAATAAAGTTTTGTATTGTATTGTGTAACAGGGGAATTCCGAAAGAATTAGTTACACGACCAGTAGGATGGAAATTTCAAATAGCTCAATGAAGTCTGTCTGATGCATATGATAAATAGTGACAGAATGGATGACCTCTCATTTTTCTCAACAGCTTAGACGAGCAGGAGCAGTATGCCGGCCAGTGAAGCATGACTGCGACTTGCCAGAAATGTGCACCGGCCGGTCTCATCAATGTCCCGCTGATCGCTTCCGACAAAATGGTCATCCCTGCAGGAACAAGCAGGGTTACTGCTACATGGGGCAATGTCCCACCTACCAGAGCCAGTGTCATTCTCTTTGGGGACCAGGTGAGGCAATTACATAGTTCAAACCAGCGATTCTCAAACTGGACTCCGTGGGGGCCCCATGGCTCTCCTCCGTTCCCTCCTGCCTAGGAAGTGCACAACCTGTGGAGCCCCACTTCCACCACTGTGGCCTATGGGGACTCCGCGCCACCGCTTTTACTGTGCTTGATGGGCTGGATGCCCCCTGGGTTCCTCCTCCTCCTCCTCCTCCTCTTATTATTATTATTATTATTATTATTATTATTATTATTATTGCCAAGGCTAGATGGCCATCTGTTGGGGGTGCTTGACTGTGCTTTTCCTGCAAGACAGATGGAGGTTGGAATGGATGGCCCCTGGGTTGCTCCTATTATCATCCTTATTCCAAAAGGCTGGATGGCCATCTGCTGGGGGTGCTTTGACTGTGCTTTTCCTGCAAAGCAGATGGAGGTTGGAATGGATGGCCCCTGGGTTGCTCCTATTATCATCCTTATTCCAAAAGGCTGGATGGCCATCTGCTGGGGGTGCTTTGACTGTGCTTTTCCTGCAAAGCAGATGGAGGTTGGAATGGATGGCCCCTGGGTTGCTCCTATTATCATCCTTATTCCAAAAGGCTGGATGGCCATCTGCTGGGGGTGCTTTGACTGTGCTTTTCCTGCAAAGCAGATGGAGGTTGGAATGGATGGCCCCTGGGTTGCTCCTATTATCATCCTTATTCCAAAAGGCTGGATGGCCATCCGCTGGGGGTGCTTTGACTGTGCTTTTCCTGCAAAGCAGATGGAGGTTGGAATGGATGGCCCCTGGGTTGCTCCTATTATCATCCTTATTCCAAAAGGCTGGATGGCCATCTGCTGGGGGTGCTTTGACTGTGCTTTTCCTGCAAAGCAGATGGAGGTTGGAATGGATGGCCCCTGGGTTGCTCCTATTATCATCCTTATTCCAAAAGGCTGGATGGCCATCTGCTGGGGGTGCTTTGACTGTGCTTTTCCTGCAAAGCAGATGGAGGTTGGAATGGATGGCCCCTGGGTTGCTCCTATTATCATCCTTATTCCAAAAGGCTGGATGGCCATCTGCTGGGGGTGCTTTGACTGTGCTTTTCCTGCAAAGCAGATGGAGGTTGGAATGGATGGCCCCTGGGTTGCTCCTATTATCATCCTTATTCCAAAAGGCTGGATGGCCATCTGCTGGGGGTGCTTTGACTGTGCTTTTCCTGCAAAGCAGATGGAGGTTGGAATGGATGGCCCCTGGGTTGCTCCTATTATCATCCTTATTCCAAAAGGCTGGATGGCCATCTGCTGGGGGTGCTTTGACTGTGCTTTTCCTGCAAAGCAGATGGAGGTTGGAATGGATGGCCCCTGGGTTTCTCCTATTATCATCCTTATTCCAAAAGGCTGGATGGCCATCTGCTGGGGGTGCTTTGACTGTGCTTTTCCTGCAAAGCAGATGGAGGTTGGAATGGATGGCCCCTGGGTTGCTCCTATTATCATCCTTATTCCAAAAGGCTGGATGGCCATCTGCTGGGGGTGCTTTGACTGTGCTTTTCCTGCAAAGCAGATGGAGGTTGGAATGGATGGCCCCTGGGTTGCTCCTATTATCATCCTTATTCCAAAAGGCTGGATGGCCATCCGCTGGGGGTGCTTTGACTGTGCTTTTCCTGCAAAGCAGATGGAGGTTGGAATGGATGGCCCCTGGGTTGCTCCTATTATCATCCTTATTCCAAAAGGCTGGATGGCCATCTGCTGGGGGTGCTTTGACTGTGCTTTTCCTGCAAAGCAGATGGAGGTTGGAATGGATGGCCCCTGGGTTGCTCCTATTATCATCCTTATTCCAAAAGGCTGGATGGCCATCTGCTGGGGGTGCTTTGACTGTGCTTTTCCTGCAAAGCAGATGGAGGTTGGAATGGATGGCCCCTGGGTTGCTCCTATTATCATCCTTATTCCAAAAGGCTGGATGGCCATCTGCTGGGGGTGCTTTGACTGTGCTTTTCCTGCAAAGCAGATGGAGGTTGGAATGGATGGCCCCTGGGTTTCTCCTATTATCATCCTTATTCCAAAAGGCTGGATGGCCATCTGCTGGGGGTGCTTTGACTGTGCTTTTCCTGCAAAGCAGATGGAGGTTGGAATGGATGGCCCCTGGGTTGCTCCTATTATCATCCTTATTCCAAAAGGCTGGATGGCCATCTGCTGGGGGTGCTTTGACTGTGCTTTTCCTGCAAAGCAGATGGAGGTTGGAATGGATGGCCCCTGGGTTTCTCCTATTATCATCCTTATTCCAAAAGGCTGGATGGCCATCTGCTGGGGGTGCTTTGACTGTGCTTTTCCTGCAAAGCAGATGGAGGTTGGAATGGATGGCCCCTGGGTTTCTCCTATTATCATCCTTATTCCAAAAGGCTGGATGGCCATCTGCTGGGGGTGCTTTGACTGTGCTTTTCCTGCAAAGCAGATGGAGGTTGGAATGGATGGCCCCTGGGTTTCTCCTATTATCATCCTTATTCCAAAAGGCTGGATGGCCATCTGCTGGGGGTGCTTTGACTGTGCTTTTCCTGCAAAGCAGATGGAGGTTGGAATGGATGGCCCCTGGGTTGCTCCTATTATCATCCTTATTCCAAAAGGCTGGATGGCCATCCGCTGGGGGTGCTTTGACTGTGCTTTTCCTGCAAAGCAGATGGAGGTTGGAATGGATGGCGTCTGGGTTGCTCCTATTATCATCCTTATTTCAAAAGGCTGGATGGCCATCCGCTGGGGGTGCTTTGACTGTGCTTTTCCTGCAAAGCAGATGGAGGTTGGAATGGATGGCCCCTGGGTTGCTCCTATTATCATCCTTATTCCAAAAGGCTGGATGGCCATCCGCTGGGGGTGCTTTGACTGTGCTTTTCCTGCAAAGCAGATGGAGGTTGGAATGGATGGCCTTGGGTTGCTCCTATTATGATTATAATTATAATTATGATGATTATGATTATTATTGCAAAGGCTGGGTGGCCATCCCCTGGGGGTGCTTTGACTGTGTTTTTCCTGCAAGGCAGAGGGAGGTTGGACTGGACAGCTCCTGGGTTGCTCCAATAATAATAATAATAATAATAATAATAATAATAATAATAATAATAATAATAATATACACAGCAAGATTAGTACACAGCAAACAACATCACTCTGCTAGCTTTTGTATTGGATCACACGTCGGACACTTCCCAAGTATCTAGGACTGTGTTATGTAGCAATGAATAATGCATGCAGATCCAAGTAGGGTGGCGTTTTGCAGCTGACAGATGGTAATTTTATCAGTGTTGATTGTTTTTGAGTGCAGGCCAAGGTCTTTAGGCACTGCACCCAGTGTGCCAATCACCGCTGGGACCAACTTTACTAGCTTGTGCCAGAATCTTTGCAGCTTGATCTTTAAATCCTCCTGCTTTGTTGTTGTTGTTATTGTAAAGTCTGGATGGCCATCTGTTGGGGCTGCTTTGACTGTGCTATTCCTGCAAAGCAGAAAGAGGCTAGACTGGACAGCCCTGGGTTGCTCCTATTATTATTGCAAAGGCTGGGTGGCCATCCATTGGGGTGTTTTGCCTGTGCATTTCCTGCAAGGCAGAAGGTGGTTGGACTTCATGGACCCTGGGTTGCTCCTGTTGTTGTTGTTGTTGTTGTTGTTGTTGTTGCAAAGTCTGGATGGCCATCTGTTGGGGCTGCTTTGACTGTGCTATTCCTGCAAGGCAGAAGGTGGTTGGACTGCATGGCCCCTGGGTTGCTATTATTATTATTATTATTATTATTATTATTATTATTATTATTATTATTATTTGAAACACAACAAGATGAGTCCACAGTAGACAAGATCACTCCGCTGGCTCTTGAATTGGATCACACGTTGGACTCTTCCCAAGTGTCTAGGACTGTGGGATATATTGGCAAATGATGCGTGTAGATCCCAGTAAGGTGGCCTTTTGCAGCTAGCAAATGGTAATCTTGTCAGCACTGATTGTGTTTTAAGTGCAGGCCATGGTCTTGAGGAGCTGCACCCAGTGTGCCGATCACCATTGGGACCACCTTTACTGGCTTGTGCCAGAGTCTTTGCAGTTCGATCTTCATATCATGTCAGCTTTTCTAGTTGTTTCTCTTCAATCCTGCTGTCACCTGGGATTATTGTTGTTGCTGTTGTTGTTATTATTATTATTATTATTATTGCAAAGTATGGGCGGTCCCTGGGGTCTTCCACTGAAATACTGTTAAATTTATATTGTTTAAAATTGTTCATACAAACATACACATCTTGAAAGTATTTTTAAAAATTCCAAAAAAGCTATCCTCCATTTTGCCATTTTATAGAAGCAGAACTATTTTATGACACTGTTCTTTATAATGGGACTTGAGTATCCATGGATTCTCTGGTTGCTTCTGGATCAGCAGATCACAGGAGCTGTCTTCATAGACCTGTCAGCGGCTTATGAAACTGTGAACCACCGCCTCCTCCTAAGAAAAATGTATAATATCACAAAGGACGACCACCTCACCCGCCTCATAGGAAACCTGCTACAAAACAGGAGCTTTTTTGTTGAGTTCCAGGGCCAGAGAAGCAGATGGCGGAAACAGAAGAACGGCCTGCCTCAGGGGAGCGTGCTTGCTCCATCCATGTTCAACATCTACACAAATGCCCAGCCACTGCCAGAAGGGACAGAGAGTTTCATCTATGCTGATGATCGTGCCATTACCGCTCAAGCAGGGAGCTTTGAGATGGTTGAACAGAAGCTCTCCGAAGCTCTAGGTGCTCTAACTGCCTATTACAGGGAAAACCAGCTGATCCCCAACCCATCTAAAACACAGGCATGTGCCTTTCACCTTAAGAACAGACAAGCATCCCGAGCTCTGAGGATCACCTGGGAAGGAATCCCACTGGAGCATTGCAGCACACCCAAATACCTGGGAGTCACTCTGGACCGTGCTCTGACCTACAAGAAGCACTGCCTGAACATCAAGCAAAAAGTGGGTGCTAGAAACAATATCATACGAAAGCTGACTGGCACAACCTGGGGATCACAACCAGACACAGTGAAGACATCTGCCCTTGCGCTATGCTACTCTGCTGCTGAGTACGCATGCCCAGTGTGGAACACATCTCACACACTAAAACAGTGGATGTGGCTCTTAATGAGACATGCCGCATTATCACGGGGTGTCTGCGCCCTACACCACTGGAGAAATTACACTGCTTAGCCGGTATTGCACCACCTGACATCCGCCGGGAAGTAGCAGCCAATAGTGAAAGGACCAAGGCAGTGACATCTCCAGCTCATCCCTTGTTTGGGTTCAGCCAGCACGTCAATGACTTAAATCAAGAAATAGTTTTCTAAGATCTACAGAGACACTCGCTGGAACACCTCAGCAAGCGAGAGTCCAAAAGTGGCAGGCTCAAACCCAGAACCTCAACAATGGCTGATACCAAATGAGAGACTCCCCCCTGGCCACACAGAAGACTGGGCGACTTGGAAGGCGCTGAACAGACTGCGCTCTGGCACCACCAGATGCAGAGCCAAGCTTCAGAAATGGGGCCACAAAGTGGAATCCACGACATGCGAGTGTGGAGAAGAGCAAACCACTGACCACCTGCTGCATGCACCCTGAGCCCTGCCACATGCACAATGGAGGACCTCCTTGCAGCAACACCAGAGGCACTCCAAGTGGCCAGATACTGGTCAAAGGACATTTAATCAGCTACCAAGTTTGCAAAATTTGCGGGTTTTTTGATCTGTTTGTTTGTTCTGTTCTGTTAGAAATGTAATACAATGTTCTGGTTGCGGATGACACGATAAATAAATAAATAAAATCCATGGATTCTGGTACTCAGCGGAGAATCCCCGGTTGGTAACAAGCACCTATTGTATTAGCAATTGAATATGAACTGAACTAGCAGATATTCCAGATATTTAAACCATCATGAATAAATATATATATTTTGGGGTGTTTTTTCTTGCAGAAGCGATTGTGGGTACAGATTCTTGTTACCGTGTCAACCAGAAAGGGGTTTATTATGGCCACTGCAGAAAAGCGAACGGCACATACCTTCCATGTGGAAAACTGTAAGTAATACCGATGAGTGTCAGTTCTAAATGAAGTAAAACACAGATTTTATTGATTTTCTAATACTTTGTACTCTATTTTAAAAAAATAATTGGATGTTTCATTCCTAGAGATCAAAAGTGTGGCAAGTTATATTGCTCCGGTGGTTCCAAGATGCCTTCAAAGGGAAGCCTAGTGTCCTTCGAACAGTGCAAAGCGACTTTCCCAGACAAAGATGAAGAAGATGGAGGAATGGTTGCTCCTGGAACAAAATGTGGAGATGGAATGGTTAGTGGATTAATAGCTTTCCATCCCTGATTCCCACACTCTGATCCTCCTGGCATTTTGGGCTTCAGCTCCCTATAACTATTGGATTTGCATCTTTCAGGATCATGTTGTGCATATCAGTTGGGCTGGGGTAAATCTAGGCTATAGACTCCAGAATAAAACATATGTCTTTTGCACTGAGAATTCAGTGTCCTTTGCTTCCTATGTCATTGAGCAACTTAACTCTCAAGTCTGCCCTTAGGTCTGATATGACAGCTTTCTATTAGGGTTGGTTGATACAAGTCGTAAGTTACTTAACTTGTAATGAAATCGTAAATAAATTACCTTTTGAAGCGATATTGACTCGTTTTGGCAACCCGGAAGTGTTTTTGCCATATCGAAGCCGCGTCCGCCATCTTCCGTACGACTTCTGCCAGTGAATCATAAATGCTGGGGGTGTGGCCTTCAGGAAGAGCTGTTCTTACCCACGCCCACCTCCTTCCTCTTTGCATCGGCGGCTTTGCGAGGTGGGCTTTGCGAGGTGGGCGTGGCTACCTCCCTGGCGACAAGCGGCTGTTGCAACCCAAAGCAGGAAACGAGGCCCTAAGATAACCATCCACCACACTTGACTGTGAAAAAACAATCCTTTTTTATTGAAGAAAAATGGTTACAAAATAAAGGGAAAATGCAAAGTCAAAAGCCACAGCAAAATCAGCAAACATGAATGTCCATGAACAAGATCAAAACCCAAAGCCACACTGTAAAATACTGGAACCTGTTAGCAATCTACTAACCGTACTTGGTGTCCTAGAAATCTCTCAAGACGATGGCCAGAGGAACCGGGAGAACTGCCAAGGTCTTCATCAATCTAAAACGATGCCTGAACTGAGAAAGTCAGCCCGGCGGAAGGCACTTAAAGCCGAGGAATTGGTTTCGTGATACGCCTCCCTGCTTTGAAGCCCTTGTTTGTATTTCTTTTAATCTGGAAGACCTTCGCAAGCTGAGTGATTCACTCCTGTCTTGCCAGATCTGCCCCCTTCTATTCTCATTAAGGTTCCCAGGTGCAGAAGGGAGTAAAAGGTCATTGCTTCCCTCTGAAACATTCTCATGAACACTGGTACTTTCATTTTCCAAATCTGCAGAAGTTTCTTCCTCACTAATTTCAGGAGCATTGTCACTAATTTCAGGATCATTGACATCAGGAAGTACATTTTCATTAGCATCAGGAAGTACATTTTCATTAGCATCAATAAATATATTTTCATTAGCATCAGGAGGTACAAACAGAGAATCAGGTTCAAACTCAGGCTGAACCCCAACAGCGGCGATGCGGATGAGCTGGGCGTAGCCACCTTGCAAAGCCCACCTCGCAAAGCCGCCGATGCAAAGAGGAAGGAGGTGGGCGTGGGTAAGAACAGCTGTTCCTGGTATTTCCGATCTTTTTTTTTCAAGAAAATTTTGGAAATAATTTCAAAATCAAACCGCCAGCGCCCCCTATATACAAAATGAGTTTAGAACCATTTTTTTTCTTGATCAACCAAGCCTACTTTCTAAGGGTGAATCTGCATTCAGAGGCGGCCCTAGGTAATTTTTAATGGTAAGCAAACAGTATTTTGGCGCCCCCCCCCCCAAACCAATCATTGATATATATTTTCTGTTGGTCATGAGAGTTCTGTGTGCCATATTTGGTTCAATTCCATCATTGGTGGAGTTCAGAATGCTCTTTGATTGTAGGTGAACTATACATCCCAGTAACTACAACTCGCATATGTCAAGGTCTATTTTCCCCCAAGAGCGCCTCAAGAGTGCCCCTGGGCAAAATCAACTATACTGCAAATGCTTATTTTACGTAATGGGTTGCCGAGACTCCCCCCGGACTGCTAGGGTTGTGAGCCGAGGGGGCGCTCCTCAAGTGACGGTCGAGGGGCATTTACAGAGGTGCCTCTGCGCCCCTGGCAAAAAAAAGTGTACTGCGACCGCTTACTTTGCGTAATGGACGAGCCGCCCCTGTCTGCATTGTAGAAGTAATGCAGTGTAACATCGCTTTAGGGACCCCTGGTGGCATAGTAGGTTAAACTGCTGAGCTGCTGAACTTGCTGACAGAAAGTTTGGCAGTTTGAAACTAGGGAGTGGGGTGAGCTTCTGCTGTTAGCCCCAGCTTCTGCCAACCTAGCAGTTCAAAAACATGCAAATGTAAGTAGATCAATAGGTACCGCCTTGGCAGGATGGTAATGGCGCTCCATGCAGTCATGCCAGCCACATGACCTTGAAGGTGTCTATGGACAGTGCCGGCTCTCCCGCTTAGAAATAGAGATGAGCTCTAACCCCCATAGTCGGACATGACTAGATTTAATGTCAAGGGGAAACCTTTACCTTTACTTTTAACATCACTTTACATTTGAATCCTTGGAGGTTCCAGCATTCTTTGGCAAAGAAGGCTAAAGGCCCAGTAAAACTAAAATATTGTTTGTTTGTTTTTCTTGTTGATCAACTTAAGTATTTGACTTTCAGGTCTGCAACAATGGGCGATGTGTGGATATTGAGAGAGCCTACAGGTCTACCAACTGTTCTGACCAATGCCCAGGACATGCTGTGAGTTAAAAGTGTTAGGGAAGAATAATAGTCAGTGTATTTTCACGTTCTGCTTTGAGATGTTTCTGAGTACCTGTTTCTCTGCTGCTGAGCATGCACACCCGTATCTTTGCCAGCAAGATCTAAATGCCCGTGTATTTAAGCTGGGGGCTGCTGCTGTGCAGTTAAATGTCCACTTGCCCATTTTGGAATGGCCAATTGGCTTTGTCTCTTCAACGGGTTGCTAGACAGGTTTTGGAATTAGTTTTTGCATCATGGTTTTCTATGGCAATTTATCTGTGAAACGTATTTTGAGAGTGCCTAAACTAAACTTTAAGTGGGACAATTGAGTTTAGATCTAACTTGGTAATTTAGGAACTATAATCCATGATTTATGGTCAGGAGCTGGAAAAAAGGCAGGATAGGGAAAAAAATCAACAAAGAGAGAAGAAAAAAAGTTTACTAATTCACGAGTTGGATAGAAGAACCAGCTCTTACATTACAAGGGAAGGAAGGAAGGAAGGAAGGAAGGAAGGAAGGAAGGAAGGAAGGAAGGAAGAAGGAAGGAGGTAAAGAAGGAGAGAAGGAAAGAGGGAAGGAAGGATAGAAGCAAAAAGTGAAGGAAGGAAGGAAAAGAAGGAAGGAAGGGTAAAGGAGGAAGGAGGAAAGATAAGGAAGGAAGGCAGAAGGAAGAGGAAGGAAGAGGAAGGAAGGAAGGAAGGAAGGAAGGAAGGAAGGAAGGAAGGAAGGAAGGAAGGAAGGGAGGGAGGGAAGGAAGGAGGTGAAGGATGAGAAAGGAAGGAAGGAAGGAAAGAAGGAAAGGAAAAAGAAGGAAGGAAGGAAGGGAAGAAAGGAAGGAAGGGATGGAAGGGAGGAACAAAAGGAAGGGAGGAAGGAAGGAAGGAAGGGAGGGGGAAGGGAAAGGGAAGGGAAGGGAAGGGAAGGGAAGGGAAGGGAAGGGAAGGGAAGGGAAGGGAAGGGAAGGGGAAGGGAAAGGAAGGAAGGAAGGAAGGAAGGAAGGGAAGGAAGGAAGGGAGGAAAAAAGGAAGGAGGACGAAGGAAAGGAGTGAGGAAGAAGAGGTACATGGATGGAAAGAGAGAAAGGAAGGAAGGGGAAGGAAGGAAGGAAGGAAGGAAGGAAGGAAGGAAGGAAGGAAGGAGAAGGGAGGAAGCCTCCATCTCCTGCCAAAGAAGGAGAGATAGATGGATGGAAGGAAGGAAAGAAGGAAAGGAGGAAGGAAGGAAGACTGGAAAGAAAAGGAAGGAAGGGAGGAAGGAAGGAAAAAAGGAAGGGAAGAAGGAAGGGAGGGAGGGAAGGGAAGGGAAGGAAGGGAGGGGAAGGGAAGGGAAGGGAAGGGAAGGGAAGGAAGGAAGGAAGGAAGGAAGGAAGGAAGGAAGGAAGGAAGGAAGGGAAGGGAAGGAAGGAGGAAGGAAGAGAAAGGAAGGAAGGAAGGAAAGAAGGAAAGGAAAAAGAAGGAAGGAAGGAAGGGAAGAAAGGAAGGAAGGGATGGAAGGGAGGAACAAAAGGAAGGGAGGAAGGAAGGAAGGAAGGGAGGGAAGGGAAGGAGGAAGGGAAGGAAGGAAAGGGAAGGAAGGAAGGAAGGAAGGAAGAGAAGGAAGGAAGGAAGGAAGGAAGAAGGAAGGAAGGGAAGGAAGGAAGGGAAAAAAGGAAGGAGGAAAAAGGAAGGAAGGAAGGGAAGGAAGGAAAGGAAAGAAAGGAGGGAAGGAAGAGGAAAGGAAGGAAGGAAGGAAGGAAGGAGGAAGGAAGGAAGGAAGGAAGGAAGGAAGGAAGGAAGGAAGGAAGGAAGGAACAAAAGGAAGTGAGGAATTAAAGGAAGGAAGGAAGGGAAGGGAAGGAAAGGAAGAAAGGAAGGGAAGGAAGAGAAAGGAAGGAAGGAAGGAAGGAAGGAAGGAAGGAAGGAAGGAAGGAAGGAAGGAAGGAAGGGAAGGAAGGGAAGGAAGGAAGGGAGGAAAAGGGAAGGAAGGAAAAAGGAAGAAGGGAGGGGGGGAGGAACAAAAGGAAGGAAGGAACTAAAGGAAGGAAGCAAAGAAGGGAAGGGAAGGAAGGAAAGAAAGGGAAGGAAGGGGAAGGGGAAGGGAAGGGAAGGAAAGTCAATGTTATGTGTTCCTCATGCATATGCCTGTTCTGGAAACGAATGCTGTCATAGGTATGCGACCATGAACTCAAATGCCAGTGTGAAGAAGGGTGGGCACCACCAAATTGTGAGGATTCTACTGGAAACACATGTGAGTTAAAGCAGCATATTAAGTGTGTAGTGTTGTACATGTGATTCTGCACACGTGCACACATAAACACCCTCTCAAACTAATGTGGAAATGTTGTGTATGATTCATATTATCTTATAATGCACATTAAGTGCATGTAAAGTAATCTTAGTTGGCAGATGGCAGAAAATCCTTGAAACCAAGAATGGGGAACTTGTGGGAACTGTAATTTTATGTAGTCTTTATCTATCGCTTCTGCCTCATCAAAATATAAATCCCAGTGTTCCATAGCTTTGAGTCTTGACAGTTAAAGTGGGGTTAAATTGCATTAATTCTACAATGTAAATGCACTCTTTGCCTTTTGCAAAGAATCCAAAGGCCACCTGAGACAATGAAATTTCTTTGTTTTTGCAGATATCATCATCATCATTGTGACTGTGCTGGTGGCCCTTGCCGTCACAGGGATCATTGCGGCAGTCTTTTTCCGTTACTATATTCTCAATAAGAAACCAAAACAAAGGTATGCCTTTTACACTTCTTTTGAACACATCTTCTCAGCTCAACGCTCAGAAAGTGTCTAAAGAGACCCCCTCCCCCCCCCCCCCCGGGGAGATAGGGCTATAAATAAAGTATTAGTATTAGTAGTGGTAGTAGTAGTAGTATTTGATACACAACAAGATTAGTACACAGCAAACAAGATCACTGTGCAGACTTTTGTATTAGATCACATGTTGGACACTTCCCAATATTGTCAGTGCTGATTGTTTTTAAGTGCAGGCCAAGGTCTTGAGGTACTGCACCCAGTGTGCCCATCACCACTGGGACCCCCTTGACTGGCTTGTGCCAGAGTCTTTGCAGTTCTATCTTTAAATCCTCACATCATGTAAGCTTTTCCACTTGCTTCTCATCAATGCTGCAATATCGATAATCTATACTTTGGTTCTCCCCCCTCCCCCCCCTTAATTGTGAGGTTAGAAATATCATGCTCTAAAACTATTATTATTATTATTATTATTATTATTATTATTCAGTTGGAAAGTGTCCTCAAAGCAACTTCTGTTTCCTGATTAATCCTCTGTTGTCTCCCTCTTTTGATTGCTTTTCTGTGGTCAGGACTTAAACATTTGTAACATAGAAGACTACCTTCATGCTAATGCTTAATTCTTTCCTGGCAGCATCCACAAAAGTGCACCTGGAGCTTCAAATTTGGGCTTCTCTGGTCAAGAACAGAAGAGAAGGCAGCCTACCGCTCCTGTTCCTGGACCTCCAGAGGTAACAACCATCATTGAACCTATGAGCAATGGACACCAAACACAAGAACCTGATAACATGTGTCATTTATTCACTCAGAATAAATGGGGGTGGTGACGGCCAACAGGGAACTCTGGCATGGCTGGTCCATGAGGTCACGAAGAGTCAAAAACGACTGAATCAATAAACAACAACACAACACCATCATGTGATAGACTGTCATCAAAAATAATGTTCCAGGTGCAATGCCAGTTTGCCTATCTCATGTGATAAAGTCCTAACTAGCAATCTGTTACAGATGAGTGAATCTAAATAATTCTTTTGTATGAATGACAGCTAATTATTCATGTTTTGATTAGGCCTGTTTGATCAAGAAAAAATTTGTTTCTAAAATCGATTTGTAATTGGGGTGTTTTTTTGTTTCGATATTTAAAATAATTACAAAACTTTCCAAAAAAAAGTTTCGGTATTTACGAAATTTCGTAAATATTAACAAAACATTTTGTAAAGATGGGGCCTTTTTTTTTCAATATTTTTTAAATATTTTTTAAATTTAATTATTAAATAATTTAGTAGAATAGGGAGGAGAAATTAAGGGAAGGCAGGCACTCACTCTGGCGGGCCCTCTCGCTCGCCGCTCGCCCCCTCACTCGCCCTCTCGCTCGCCGCTCGCCCTCTCGCTCGCCGCTCGCCCTCTCACTCGCCCTCTCGCTCGCCCTCGCCCTCTCGCTCGCCGCTCGCCCTCTCGCTCGCCGCTCGCCCTCTCACTCGCCCTCTCGCTCGCCGCTCCCCCTCTCACTCCCGCTCGCCCTCTCGCCCTCTCGCGCTCGCCCTCTCACTCGCCCTCTCGCTCGCCTCGCTCGCCCTCTCGCTCGCTTGCTCAGCCGGCGCGGAGAGAGGAGAGCTCCCAGCAAGCCAGGCGGCCATCTTACGTATTTCCGAAATGGACGGAAATACAAAACTTTTTGGCGCCTGCCGTTTCGATATTTAAAAACCCTTCCCGGTTTGAAAATATGTTTTGTTATCGTTTCGTATATGCAAAAATTAACGAATGTTTAACGAATTAACGAATTAACGAACGAAACCGCACAGGCCTAGTTTTGATCATTTTGCCTTGATTGTCACTGCCCCCTTCCCTGGCTATTTCACTGGGCATTGGCTGCATGAGGAGAAACAGATTCATTTTGCTGGAGATTCGAGTATGGTTGAATGATGTTTCCGTCAGGTTTGGGATGTAGTATTTCAGCTATTGTTTTTAAACTAATATCTGGGAATGTTCTCATGGATTTGTGTTTTCTGTTTTTCAGGTCAGCTCTTCTAGATCTCTTCTCCCACCACCTCCACCCCAAGCAAACAAACCACCAGTTTGCATTGTAAGTAGTATTTATTTAATTAATTAATTATCATCATTGTTATTAAACTTTACTAGCCGTCCCCTGCTATGCGTTGTTGTGGCACACATGGGGGTTTTGTGTGGCTCAATTCTATCGTTGGTGGGGTTCAGAATGCTCTGTGACTGTAGGTGAACTATAAATCCCGGCAACTACAACTCCCAAATGTCAAGATCTATTTTCCCCAAACTCCCCACAGTGTTCACATTTGGGCATATTGAGTATTCATGTAGAGTTTGGTCCAGATCCATCATTGTTTGAGTCCACAGTGCTCTCTGGATGTAGGTGTACTACAACTCTAAAACCAAAGGACACTGCCCACCAAACCCTTCCAGTATTTTCTGTTGGTCATGGGAGAACTTGTGCCAAGTTTGGTTCAATTCCATCATTGGTGGGGTTCAGAATGCTCTTTGATTGTAGGTGAACTATAAATCCCAGCAACTACAACTCCCAAATGACAAAATCATTTTTTTTAGTGAAGGACATACATTGGGTTGTTAGGTGTCTTGTGTCCAAATTTGGTGTCAATTCGTCCAGTGGTTTTTGAGTTCTGTTAATCCCACAAACGAACATTACATTTTTATTTATATAGAAATCCCCTGCCACACATTGCTGTGGCCCACATGGGGTTTCTGTGTGGGGGGTTTGGCCCAATTCTATCTTTGGTGGGATTCAGAATGGTCCTTGATTGTAGGTGAACTATAAATCCCAGCAACTACAACTCCCAAATGACAAAATCATTTTTTTTAGTGAAGGACATACATTGGGTTGTTAGGTGTCTTGTGTCCAAATTTGGTGTCAATTCGTTCAGTGGTTTGAGTTCTGTGAATACCACAAACGAACATTACATTTTTATTTATATAGAAGAGCCATCCCCTGCCACACATTGCTGTGGCCCACATGGGGTTTCTGTGTGGGGGGTTTGGCCCAATTCTATCTTTGGTGGGATTCAGAATGGTCCTTGATTGTAGGTGAACTATAAATCCCAGCAACTACAACTCCCAAATGTAAAGATTCAATTTTCTCCAAACTCCACCAGTGTTCACATTTGGGTATATGGAGTATTTGTGTAGAGTTTGGTCCAGATCCATCATTGTTTGAGTCCACAGTGATCTCTGGATGTAGGTGAACTACAACTCTAAAACCAAAGGACATTGCCCACCAAACCCTTCCAGTATGTTCTGTTGGTCATGGGAGAACTGTGTGCCAAGTTCAATTCCATCGTTGGTGGGGTTCAGAATGCTCTTTGATTGTAGGTTAACTATAAATCCCAGCAAATAATAATTAAAGTTAAAATTAAGATAAAAATAAAATGAAATACAGCAATAAAAACACTAACGTACAAACAGTAAAAGAAAATTAACACAATGGGACGTTAACACCGGGTATGAAAAAAATAATTAGGAACAAGGAGTTAATCAAAGTGGGCTGGGCCAAGTGCAAAGAATTGGTATAATTACAAATCATCTTGACAGCATAATCTATATAAATAAAAATGTAATGTTTGTTTGTGGGATTAACAGAACTCAAAAACCACTGGACAAATTGACACCAAATTTGGACACTACACACCTAACAACCTAATGTATGTCCTTCGCTCAAAAAAATTGATTTTGTCATTTGGGAGTTGTAGTTCACCCAGAGGCGGCCCTAGGTAATTTTCAACGGTAAGCAAACAATATTTGCCCCCCCCCCCTCCCAACCAATCACTGATATATATTTTCTGTTCGTTGTGGGAGTTCTGTGTGCCATATTTGGTTCAGTTCCATCATTGGTGGAGTTCAGAATGCTCTTTGATTGTAGGTGAACTATACATCCCAGTAACTACAACGCCCATATGTCAAGGTCTATTTTCACCCAACAGCGCCTCAAGAGCGCCCCTGGGCAACAAAAACTGTACTGCAAATGCTTACTTTGCGTAATGGTTGAGCCGCCCCTGAGTTCACCTACAATCAAAGAGCATTCTGAACTCCACCAACGATGGAATTGATCCAAACTTGACACAAAGGCCTCCCATGACCAACAAAAAATACTAGCAGCATTTGGTGGGCATTGACCTTGAGTTTGGGAGTTGTAGTTCACCTACATCCAGAGAGCACTGTGGACTCAAACAATGATGGATCTAGACCAAACTTGGCACGAATATTCCATATGCCCAAATATGAACACAGATGGAGTTTGGGAGAAATAGACCTTGGCATTTGGGAGTTGTAGTTACTGGGATTTATAGTTCACCTGCAATCCAAGACCATTCTGAATTAATGCCACAAATGACAGAACTGGGGGAAACTTCCCACACAGAACCCCCATGACCAACAGAAAATACTTAAGGCCATCCAATCCAACTCCCTTCACCAGGGCAAGAAAACATAATCAAAGCCCTCCTGACAGAGAGCCATCCAGCTATAGATATAGATAGATATATATGATTCACACACACACAGATAAAGTATTATAGATTTGAAAGGGACTCCTAAAGATGGACTATTATATGTTGCATGTTCCAGAGTAGGCCAACCAGGCAATCTCCACATCAACACTGACAAAGAAACAGCAAGAAATACTGTTTACCCACAAGCAGAAAGACATGACATATATTAGAAACCAACACTTTCTCATTACGGTACTTTATTTTCCATATAACCAGACTGGGCCACAGCAACGCCTGGCAGGAGACCGCTAGTAATCTATATAAATAAAAATGTGATGTTCGTTTGTAAGATTAACAGAACTCAAAAACCACTGGACGACTTGACACCCAAATTTGGACCCAATGTATGTCCTCCGCTCAAAAAAAATGATTTTGTCATTTGGGAGTCGTAGTTCAGCTACAACCAAAGAGCATTCTGAACCCCACCAACGATGGAATTGAACCAAACTTGGCACCCAGTTCTCCCATGTCAAACAGAAAATACTGGAAAAGTTTGATGGGCAGTGTCCTTTGGTTTTGGAGTTGTAGTTCACCTACATCCAGAGATCACTGTGGACACAAACAATGATGGATCTGGACCAAACTCTACAAGAATACTCAATATGCCCAAATATGAACACTAGTGGAGTTTGGGGAAAATAGAATCTGGACATTTGGCAGTTGTAGTTGCTGGGATTTATAGTTACAGTCACAGAGCATTCTGAACCCCACCAATGATAGAATTGGGCCAAACCTCCCACACAGACCCCCCATGTGGGCCACAGCAACGCGTGGCAGGGGACGGCTAGTATATTATGAAAATTATGTTTGCATTTAAAATGTATCTGTCAATTCAGGTGAATGTTCCATTGATTATATAATGAACTGCTTTAAAAGCAGTTCTCTCATATACACAAACACACATACACAAGACCTGCATAGGGAAAACTAGAAAATCGCAAAGAGGAGATAAACCATTCTTTGTAATATATAGCATTTCAATTTTTAGCCTGTGTCAAGGGTTTAGATAAAATCACCTACCAAAAAAGATGTGATGTTATGAAATAGAGATTATAGTACCTTCGATGGTATGAGATTGTATGGAAATAATCCCCTTTGAAGTAATGTTAATCCAATGCTCCTCTTTGTTTCCTTTTTTTCTCAGAACATGCCAAGTGAACAATCCAGCCATACCCCAACTTTTTATCAAAATGCAAAAACGGTGAGTCTGATAACCTGTTTGAAGAACTTTTGGGTAAAAATGGGCTGTTGTAAGGTTTTTGGGCTGTATGGCCATGCTCTATTTATTTATTATTTATTTATTTATTTACTGCATTTATTGACCGCCGCTCTCAGCCCTAGGGCGACTCGCGGCGGTGCACAACATATAAAAACAGTTTACAAAAAGGGCAAAACAGGGAATCAATACAACAATAATACACTATAATCTAGTTACACTAAATAATCCGCTCCGTCACATCATAGAATCATAACCAATATCGTAATCCGTATTCCGTTCCAGTTGTCAATTACCAGTTGCCGTAGCGCTCAGTTGAATGCCTTCTCAAATAGCCAGGTCTTCAGGCTCTTTCGGAAGGACAGAAGGGAAGGCGCCTGTCTGATGTCAGCAGGGAGGTCATTCCACAGCCGGGGGGCCACCACCGAGAAGGCCCTTTCTCTCGTCCCCGCCAGACGTGCCTGTGAAGCAGGCGGGATCGAGAGAAGGGCCTCCCCAGACGATCTCAAGGTCCTCGTGGGCTCATAGGCCAAGATGCGGTCCGAAAGGTATTTTGGGCCGGAACCGTTTAGGGCTTTGTAGGATAGCACCAGCACCTTAAATTGGGCCCGGTAGCAAATCGGCAGCCAGTGGAGCTGGAACAGCAAGGGCGTTGTATGCTCCCTGCGTCCCGCTCCTGTTAGTAACATGGCTGCCGCGCGCTGGACTAGCTGAAGCTTCCGGGCCGTCTTTAAGGGCAGCCCCACGTAGAGAGCGTTGCAGTAGTCAAGGCGGGATGTGACCAGAGCGTGTACCACCTGGCCAAGTCAGACTTCCCAAGGTACGGGCGCAGCTGGCGCACGAGCCTAAGCTGTGCGAATGCTCCCCTGGTCACCGCTGAAACCTGAAGCATTCTCTAGAAGCATTCTCTCCTGATGTTTCGCCTCCATGTATGGCAAACAACCTCAGAGGTTGTGAGGTCATTTGGGTAAAAGTTCCACTTTGTTTAGAATTATTTTTTCTAGGGAAAACCATCCAAACATTTCGGTGAGGCATGGATTAGGAAATTCAAAGCCTGTAGAAATAATACTTATTTCAATACAGCTACTCAGCTGGCAGAGTTATATAACTGTAGTCCCAAAGCTGTAATCTTAAAACTTGTCAGTATTAAATGCAAACAGGCTAGATCTATACTGCCCATTTATCCCAGGATCCAAACTTGACAATACTTCTCAATTGTCAACTTTGTTTGTTTTAAATTTTTAATATCTCTTCCTTTGAAAACCTGGGAGCACTGTGTTCTTGCCTTGCTTGATATCTCTCAAAAAGGGGTTTTTCTGGTCTTCACTTTCCACACCAAAATGTGTTGTGATCACCATGTGCAAATGCCTCTCGATAAGCTCCTCTCTCCTTTCGTTCCAGCCCATCGTAAAGCCAAATATTCCTCCGCCTCCAGTTCCAACTGCCAAGCCAGCTTCATCTCATGTCTCTGGCAATACGGTAAGTCAGCTTCTTAACTTGGCTCTTTTCTAGCTGAATACTCTGCAGTTGTAACCAGGGAGCTAACAATGTGATGTGGCGGCAAAAAAAGCCAATGGGATTTTGGCCTGCATAAAGAGGAGCATAGTGTCGAGATCTAGGGAAGTCATGCTACCCCTCTATTCCGCCTTTGGTTAGACCACACCTGGAATATTGTGTCCAATTCTGGGCACCACAATGCAAGAGAGATGTTGACAAGCTGGAATGTGTCCAGAGGAGGGCGACTAAAATGATCAAGGGTCTGGAGAACAAGCCCTATGAGGAGCGGCTTAAGGAGCTGGGCATGTCTAGCCTGAAGAAGAGAAGGCTGAGAGGAGATATGATAGCCATGTATAAATATGTGAGAGGAAGCCACAGGGAGGAGGGAGCAAGCTTGTTTTCTGAGCAGACTAGGACGCGGAACAATGGCTTCAAACTACAAGAGAGGAGATTCCATCTGAACATGAGGAAGAACTTCCTGACTGTGAGAGCTATTCAGCAGTGGAACTCTCTGCCCCAGAGTGTGGTGGAGGCTCCTTCTTTGGAAGCTTTTAAACAGAGGCTGGATGGCCATCTGTCAGGGGTGATTTGAATGCAATATTCCTGCTTCTTGGCACAATGGGGTTGGACTGGATGGCCCATGAGGTCTCTTCCAACTCTTTGATTCTATGATTCTATGAATGAGCCAGCTGATGTGATCCGTTAAATACATTTCTTACAGGCCACAGCACAGAAGACAGGTCCAACCCTTCAATTCAAGTCCAAAGCAGCACCTCCACCTCCACCACAGGTAAGGAGCAAAGTTGATGGTTGAGCAGGACGAGAAACTTTTGATGGCTCCCATTACAGCTGTTTTTCAGTTGTAAACATGGGAGTAAAGTAAGACCAGGCCTCCCCTCTCCACTCGCTGTTCACGGTTGTGAAGGAAGGAGGACAGCCAGTTTAAAGCTGTCACCCTGACTCCAACAGCAGCAAGGCGGTGGGTCAAAAGATTGTAACCGACTGTGTCAAATGCTGCTGTGAGATCCAATAACACAAGCAGTGCCAACCCGCCCTGGTCAAGCTGGCATCGAAGGTGATATGTGTTCAGAAGCTCTGAACACTAGGCTTGGGTAACCACGGAAAAATTTGGTTCTAAACTCGTTTTGTTTTTAGGGGGCCCTTGCGTTTCGTTTTTTTAAATAATTCCGAAATTTTCCTTTTAAAATTTTCGAAATATACGAAATTTCGTAAAATTACGAATCGATTTGTTAATGGCGGACGCAATTGCGCAATATGCTAAAAAAAAAACTCCAAATGGGACAGGGTTGAACTTCTGAAGCTTCCCTCTCCCTCTGTTGTTGACTTTTGGTGTGATAAAACATACAACAACTATAAAACTTGCACCAGACATGCAAAAATAATTACGAAATAATTACGAAATAATTACGAAATAATTACGAAATAATTACGAAATAATTATGAAATAATTATGAAATAAATTGTTTCGAATCTAATTTACTCCTCACACTATTCCTGCATGGCTCAATATTGGATCGTAAGCTAATTTAAATATTTATTTATTTATTTATTTATTTCCGGCACTTATACCCCGCCCTTCTCACCCCCAAGGGGGGACTCAGGGTGGCTTACACAACGAGGCACCATTCCGCGCCCATACAATTACAGTTATACAAAATGACAATCATAATTAAAACAATTAAAACAGTTATCATAGATAAAACCACAATGCAATTAACAATCAATAACACAACATATAGAACAATTCACGTGTTCAGCATTCGTCTTTCCGGGTTCCAGATCCCATTCCATTATACCTTTCCTAGATAGTGTCAATTCTTTACCTGCTCATTTGACCAAACGCTTGGTCCCACATCCATGTTTTGAGTTTTCTCCTGAAGGAGAGGAGTGAGGTCGCTGTTCTGATTTCCCCGGGGAGCGAGTTCCACAGGCAGGGGGCCGCCACCGAGAAGGCCCTGCTCCTCGTCCCCGCCAGCCTCACTTGTGACACTGATACGAATTAATAACGAACTACGAAATTAACGAACGAAACCGCCCAAACCTACTGAACACAGAAATGCTGGACCACACCAACAACCACCATGTCAGACTACACAGAGAAGCCATTGAAATCCACAAGCATGTGGGCAATTTCAACAGAAAGGAAGAGACCATGAAAATGAACAAAATCTGGCTACCAGTATTAAAAAACTCTAAAATTACAACAGCAAAACAACAGAGAGGAAACAACCAGGCACAGATTAACACCTCTCAAAGATTTCCCAGGCTCAGGCAGGCCTTCAAATGCTAATGAAGGTGGTCAGTTGAAACATTCACACCTAGCTCCAGCAGGGAAGAGCTCCTTGCCCCACCCCAGCCATTCCACAGATATACAAACCCATTGTCCTAATTCCAACAGACCTCACTACCTCTGAGGATGCTTGCCATAGATGCAGGCGAAACGTCAGGAGAAATGCCTCTAGAACATGGCTCTATAGCCCGAAAAAACCCACAAGAACCTACTACTGAACACGATTGCTGGCCCATGTTCAGAGTTCCTTCCTTTCAGGTCATTTCTGGCTCTTTTCCTGACTCCTGAGTTGAGAAACACTAATTGAAGTCTAATTGAAGTCTAATGCATTGTCGTGCTACCAGTTGTTTAAGCTTGGCATCTCTCTTCCCTTTTGTCTTAGGCACTGAAACCCCCAAGCAACCCGAAGGTATGAAGCAACAGGAAGGACCACCTTCGTTCCTCCTCTTTTTTGCTTTCAAGGAAGTATTTGCATTTTCCTGCCTGCTCAAAAGAAACAGACTGGCTGATTTCTTTCAATGGGTTGGACAGCATATGTGTAAACAGACTCACCGTGTTTGCATTGAGTATTGTAACCTGGACCTGATAAGGAACCATCATCTTGCTTCCATCACATCCATGGGAGATGTGATCAGAGAGTTCCTACTGGAACAACACATGTTTTATAAACTGAGCAATTGTAAACCTATTATTCCACAAGCTTGGTCTGCATTGTCTGCAACTACCACGAGATCTGAGGTTTTACGAGATTGCTCAAAATGGAACGTGATTGGGAGCAGGGCATTTCTGACCACTGTATTTTTAATCTTTTTTTTTTCATGGAGTGAGAGGGTGACCGAGCCATGTATGAAAAAGGTGACAATGGATCCCTTTGATCTTCACCTTTGACCCTTTTCACTTTTCAGAACCACTGCTTTATGCCACTTGGGCCATTTCCAATACGAAATGTCTCGCACCTTATTATTTACAGCAAAGCAACTGCCACGATGTGCAATATCAAAGGGTTGCCTTCTTCCTTCCTGCTTCTGAGCCTTTAATAACAAGTTGATCTGCGTGTGTATTTAAATCAAAGCTTGTGCTTCTCTGCAAACTGCCAAATCTGTCTAATTATGGCAGATCAGGTTTGAACTTGAAGCTTGAGGTATATAAATTAATAGTTGACATTTCTGACGAACTGATAGGACTTGAAAAGGGAGGTCAGGTGGTCAGTTGGCAACCTTACGTGGTAGGGAATGTCCTTGCTAGCACTTGAATAGCCCAGGTTGTCCTTGGATTTCATATATTTGTGTTAGAGTATATACTTTTAGAATGTATATGGAATATATATATTGAACAGGTTGTATAGATTGGGATATGTTATTTGAATGTAAGTGACTCTATTATAGTGACTCCCAATAGGCCTGTGCGGTTTCGTTCGTTAATTCGTTAATTCGTTAAACATTCGTTAATTTTTGCATATCCGAAACGATAACAAAACATATTTTCAAACCCGGAAGGGTTTTTAAATATCGAAACGGCAGCCCCCACAGTTTTTACGAGCTTTCGCCCGTTTCGTAAATGGGGCGGGCGGCGCGAGCGCGCACCCAGTGAGCTTGCTTGCTTGCTCGCTCCTCCAAACAGTCGAAAGAGAGGGAGAGAGGGAAAAAAGTGTGCTGTCTCTTTAAGGCAGGAGCGCGTCGCGGGAGAAAGGATCCTCCGGCTCCGCCCCTCGCCTGCCAATCACCCGGCTGCGCCTTTGACATGGCCGCTTTTGGTGAAGGGAGTCTCTACCCGCGCGCGCACACACAGGCGCACGCTTGGTGGTTGGGGTCTTTTTTTCCTCCTCCTCAGCTCAACCCATCCAGTGGCGCTGCTGCTTCTGTCTCTCTCTCTCAGGCTGGGCTGGCAGCTAGTCAAACTTTCCTGAGGCAGGAGGGCCAAGTTAGGGAGTTTCCTGCAGCCGCTGGCCCCTTCCTGCATTCCCTCCTCTCTCTTCCTCCCTTTTCCAGATCCTTCCTTCCTTCCTTCCTTCCTTCCTTCCTTCCTTCCTTCCTTCCTTTTCACTCTCAAAGTGGCACCCCATCTGAATTATGCTTGGTTTTTTGGCGAATTTTGACACACCAAGCTCAAAAGGTTGCCCATCACTGCAGTGAGCCAAGCCCCGCCCCTGCCTGTTGGGCGCGAGCGCGGCTCCCGATTGGCCGGCCCGCGCGCGCTCGCCCTTAGGGCACTGGTGGAGTTTGGGGGAAATAGACATTGACATTTGGGAGTTGTAGTTGCTGGGATTTATAGTTCACCTACAATCAAAGAGCATTCTGAACCCCACCAACGATGGAATTGAAGCAAACTTGGCACACAGTTCTCCCATCACCAACGGAAAATACTGGAAGGGTTTGGTGGGCAGTGTCCTGTGGTTTTGGAGTTGTAATTCACCTATATCCAGAGATCACTGTGGACTCAAACAATGTTGGATCTGGACCAAACTTTGCCGGACCAGGCTTCCCCCTCTTTCCTTCTTTCCTTCCCTTGGCCCCTTTCTCTTCCCTTCCCCTTCCTTCCTTCCCTCTTCTCCTTTCCCCTCCCTCCTTCCCTACCTTCCTTTCCTTCCTTCTTCCTTCTCTCCGTGGGGACACCGGGCCAGGCGCTGCCTCCGCTTGTTCTCCTGGCACGGCTGGGAGGGAAGCAGGTGGCGTCTCGTGGCCACGGAGAACAAGAGAGCACAGCAGAAGAAGATCTGCGGCCATGAAGCACCTCCTGTTCCCCTCCCAGCCGTGCCAGGAGAACAAGCGGAGGCGGCGCCAGGTGGGCGTGGCCAAGCAACGCTGGCTTCCCCGGGCCGGCATCAAAGGGAAGGGAAGGAAGGAAGGAAGAGGAAAGGAAGGGGGAAGGAGGGAGGGGAAAGGAGAAGGAAAGGGAAGGGGAGGAAAGGATAAAAGGGGAGCTGTAGAGAACTAGGGGGAATTTGGAAGGATAAGGGTGTGCTATTCATTCTCTCCTGACGTTTTTGCCTCATGTATGCTCACTCTTTGAATCCGTCATAGGACTACAGTCTGCTTAAGCTCAAAGTAATGCTTCGCTCGATTGTACTATTTTTGTTTGATCATGCATCTATCCTCTGTGTCCCTCGTTTCGCGGTATATTCTTTTGCTGTATGCGGCAACGATACCGGGGGGGGATGATCGTTAAAAAATACAAAAAATATTCTAAAAATTCGTTAATATTTACAAAATTTCGTAAATACCAAAACTTTTTTTTGGAAAGTTTTGTAAATATTTTAAATATCGAAACAAAAAAACACCCCAATTACAAATCGATTTTAGAAACAAATTTTTTCTTGATCAAACAGTAACTCCCAACTTTATACTCCAGGAGATTTTAATTTTAATTCTCAAGCCCCATCTGCACTGCCATGCAGTGTAATGCAGTTTACCTGAACTGAACTGCATTATATGGCAGCATAGATTCTAGGCATGGTTAGGTTCGGTCGGAATCTTCGTAATTTGGAATAAATTCAGAAAGATATGCTTTTTGTAGTGATTTTTAAGTTTTTAGGGAAACCGGAAGTCTCTTTGCCCTTCCAAAGCTTTTTCTGTCATTTCTGTTAACAATCAGTAAGTGAGTTGGATCCCACAGAGAACTCATTTTAAAGCAGAGTGGATGAATTCCCTCCCATTTCTTTCCCCCGTCTCTGTCTTGAGTCAGAGAAGCGTTTGAAAGCAGTGGATGAATTCCCCCCTTCCTTTCTCCCGCCTTCTGTCTTGAGCTAGAGAAGCGTTACAAAGAAGAGTGGATGAATTCCTCCCTTCATTTCCCCATTCTGTCTTGAGCCAGAGAAGCATTTTAAAGCAGAGTGGATGAATTCCCCCTTCCTTTCCCCTGGCTTCTGTCTTGAGCCAGAGAAGCATTTTAAAGCAGAGTGGATGAATCCCCCAGCTTCTGTCTTGTGCAAGAGAAGCATTTTAAAGCAGAGTGGATGAATTCCCCCCTTCCTTTCCCCTGGCTTCTGTCTTGAGCCAGAGAAGCATTTTAAAGCAGAGTGGATGAATTCCCCCTTCCTTTCCCCTGGCTTCTGTCTTGAGCCAGAGAAGCATTTTAAAGCAGAGTGGATGAATCCCCCAGCTTCTGTCTTGTGCAAGAGAAGTGTTTTAAAGCAGGGTGGATGAATTCCCCCTTCCTTTCCCCTGGCTTCTGTCTTGAGCCAGAGAAGCATTTTAAAGCAGAGTGGATGAATCCCCCGGCTTCTGTCTTGAGCCAGAGAAGCATTTTAAAGCAGAGTGGATGAATCCCCCAGCTTCTGTCTTGTGCAAGAGAAGCATTTTAAAGCAGAGTGGATGAATTCCCCCCTTCCTTTCCCCTGGCTTCTGTCTTGAGCTAGAGAAGCATTTTAAAGCAGAGTGGATGAGTTCCACCTTCCTTTCCCCTGGCTTCTGTCTTGAGCCAAAGAAGTGTTTTAAAGTAGAGTGGATGAATCCCCTTTCCTTTACTTCCTACTTCTGTCTTAAACCAGAGAAGCATTTTAAAACAGAGTGGATAAATTCCCTCCCTTTGCTCCCCCCTCCCCCTTTCTGGAGTATAACTACTTTCAAAGTTAAGACCACCCAATGAAACAGGAAACAACATTTTCAAACGATGAAGGATTTGGAAGTCTCGGAAGTTTCAAAAAGTTTTGAACATTTTTTTCTGTGAAAATCGGAATTGACTTTAGAATCGAACCACCTGCGCCCCCTACATCTGAAATGAGTTTTGAACTAATTTTTGGATCAAACAAGCTTATTCATATAATGCAGCTCAACTAAGTTAAATTGCATTATGAAACTGCATTATATGTCCATGTAGATGGGATCCTAAAGCACTTGCTGATTTGGGCAACAGTTAGGACTTCTGAGAGCTCAAGTCTAAAACATCTGGAGGTCCAAATTTTAGGAACTACTACTGTTTGAAAAGGACAATAGTGAAAGGGTTGACATATATTTATAGGGAAACGAGCTGTGGAAAAAACAGCTCGGCAAACATTATCAGAGGTCAAAAAAAATCCAGGTCATGAAATGGCACTTCTGTGTTGGATTAAGTTAAAGATACTATCCTTGTGGAGCTGTGTCCCTTTGATTTCCCCACCTGATGGATTTTGGAGTTCCAATGGCCTGTTTAAACTGGTGGTTCACAACCTGTGGTCCGCAAACCACCAATGGTCCGCAAAAATGAAAATATGGTCACTATTTATATATATATGTCACTTTGCATTTGATAAGCAGAGGTTCAAAATGTGTTATTTTGTTATCTATTGAGAATGTGTATTTACAATGACATCTGTATTTAAAATATTCTTATATAAAGTGAAGACTTTTCCTGAAAAAAGATTGTGTCTTTTTTTGTTTGTATACTGAGCCATTTGAAGGCATCTAAGAACAATCATGACTTACCAAAGATTAGTAACTCAAGAGCTTGATGGAAGTATTAATTCCTGTTCAAAAGAGGAAACTGGGGGTGCTAGCTCCCACCTGGTCATAGGGCCCTTGCACAGAGACACATAATTCAGAATATTTATTTATTTACGGTATTTATATTCCACCCTTTTTACCCCACAGGGGACTCAGGGCGGATCACAATACACATATACATGGCAAAAATTCAGTGCCATAGACACACAACACACAGAGGCTATTTAACTTTCCAGCTTCATGAGGGTATGCTTTTTGAATTCCGGC